TAGTGTACTTGGGATTGTCCAAAAGCACACTTGGATGCTTTCACATATAATTGATTTTGCAAGAGAATCTTCAAGGTGACTTCTAGATCTTCCATGTGTTGGGCCCATGTGGGGCTGTAAATTAAGATATCATCAAAGAAAACCAGTATAAACCGGCATAGTTATGGATGAAATAAATCATTCATGAGGGACTAGAATGTTGTTGGGGCATTTGTGAGCCCGAAGGGCATGACCCAGAATTCATAATGTCCATCAAGCGTGTGAAATGCAGTCTTGTATATGTCATCCGTGTGCACATTAATCTGATGATAGCCAACCCGTAAATCTAGTTTGGAAAAAATTCAGGCTTCCTTGAATTCGTCCAGGAGCTCGTCAATCACCGGGATTGGGAACCGATCCTTGACGATGATGTTATTAAGTGCTTTATAATCAGTGCAGAAATGCCATGTCCCATCTTTCTTTTTGACTAAGAGGACTGGGGAAGAAAATGGGCTATGACTTGGTTGGATGAATTGTTTTTCTAATAGTTCCTTAACTTGCTTCTCGATTTCTTTTTTCTGAAATTGAGGATAACGATAGGGTCTTACGTTTGTGGGGGCTGCTCCTGGAAGTAATGGAATGCAGTGGTCATGTTCCCGTGAAGGCAGTAGATCTGTTGGCTCCTAAAATACTGTTGCATATTGCTGGAGGAGTGCTTTCAGCTGTTGTTGATGTTCTTCTTGTGTGGTTGCATTTTGGGCCTGGGTTAGCATGGGCCTTGTCTGAGTGAGTTCCCAGAGGATGGTTTGAGTGGGTTCATGGGCTTGTTTCAAGAAAGATGAGAGGCTGATTGGGCTTGGGCCTCTGGTTGGTATACCTTGGAGGCGGATCTTGGTCCCATTTGTCATGAACTCCATTGACAACTGGGCCCAATCACATAGTACCGGCCCCAATTGTCTCAGCCATTGTATCCCCAATACTATATCGGCTCCACTAAGCTCGAGTGGGTATAAGTCCACCACAAATGGCTGCCCTTTGCTTTACAGTTCAATGCTTGTACAGATGCCTTCACAAGGGAGAGATGTTCCATTTGCTACGTGGACCTTGAATGCCGCTGTGGGTTGGATTGGTAGCCCTAGTTGTTGGGCCAACACTCCCATTATGAAATTCAAGGTGCTTCCATTGTCGATTAGTATGGACACTGTCATCCTTTGATTCGCCCTGAAACCCTCAGTTTGTGGGGAGTTGAGCCCGGTAAGGGCCTAGAGCGGTATCTCCGGTGTCGGTTGCTGTTCTTCGGCCCAATTGAATCTTGGCAATTCATTGGGATGTATCCTACTTTCAGTTCCGTCTTCGGTGTCATCTTGGAGGGTGTAGATCTGCATTGTTTTACACCGGTGACCCGGCCCAAATCATTCTTCACAAATGTAGCAGAGACCCTTTTCTCTACAGGCTTGCATTTCGGCCCACGATAGCTTCTTGAAGGGAATGGGTGGGCCGGTGTTCATAATTCTGGGCTTACCCAGGATGCTATCTTCCTTCCCTGGGCCAAATCCTTCGCTCATGTGTTCATTTGGCCTTGGAAAGCTGGCCGATCTCTGAGGTGGTAACCAAGGCCAGGTGAGTTTCCTTGCTTCCATGTTGGTAGTATGGGATGGTAATGTGAGGTATCCCACATTGGTGGTATGGGATGCTGTTGTGGGGTATATATGTGCTTGGGTTCCCTCCCTCTAACAACTAGTTTTTAGGGGTGAGTTCTCCTAAGGCACATAACAAATGGTGTCAGAGCCTACACTATGCCTCCTAGTTTTAATCGTGCGGCGCAGGTGGTGACGTTGGTATTGCAGTGTTCGGTCGTGACTAGGTGGACTAGTGCAAAACCAGCCTACATGGGTGCCGGGACTGCGGAGCGTGGTGGAATGTTACGATCCATTTGTCCCATGTTGGTAGTATGAAATGTTAATGTGAGGTATCCCACGTCAGTAAGTATGGGATGCTATTGTGGGGTATATATGTGCTTGGGTTCCCTCCCTCTAACAACTAGCTTTTAGGGTGAGTTCTCCTAAGGCATATAACACATTTCCATTTTCATGGGGTATTGATAAAAAATATTATTGGAATGGATACAATCCCCATAGAAAACTACCAGTGCTATGTAGATATGTGGAGTATCAGTTTTATTGTATGCCTAATGGAGATGATGACCACTTTGAGCCATCCTGAAGTTCTTTTTGGATGTGACTTTAAATTTTAGTTTTTGTTTGTGTAATAGTATTTGGTTGATCTATTAGATTCATTTGCACTTTCTGTTACTTTAACTTTTGCTTGAACCTACTCCATTAATATGTAGTTTTAACTCTTAAAGTCTACATAGAACAAATTCACAGTTTATTATTTTGTCTATTAACCTTAGTTTCTTGGTTTTGTTTAATGGTTTGGAACAAGATAACATCTGAAGGTGTGTATCTATAATTCTATCATTTGATAAAATACACTTGTATATTTCTACATATTATACAATATTTTCATCATGTTCCATATGATATTTCTTAAAATTTTGATATCTTTCCTATATATGGATGACCTATATTTCCACTGACACTGACACTTCAAACCTTGAATGAAAAACTAAAAACATGGATGTTGTCCTTTTATGCAAGTGTCTTGTGCAAGAAGATTGAGGAGACTATCAATCACCTGTTTTCATCTCTTGTTGTTATCCAAAAATGTTAGAAAATATTATGTCCATATTTAAGTCTATTTGGGTTCCCTACACCACCTAGGGTTGGCTGTTGGCATACTTATTCTGATGAGTTTCATGTCTCCACTTACTAGTGGAAGTTTATGTGGAGATGTACTTGAGCTACAGTTTTACAGAGCATATAAGGAAGAGATTAAAATCTAACCCACTAAATCTTAATGACTAATCACAGATGGGACTAAGGAGGGTGATGGAGTGGCGGAAAGGGCTGAAATGGAAGAAAACTGTGATAAGGAAATTCATCAGAGAGAAGGGTACTTTTATGTGGAGTTAATAGCAGGGAGATGGCTCAGGTTATGGGGAAGATAACGAGTGATGAAAAAACTAAGACTCAGTTTGGAAAGAGTACAAATGAAAACATGTACAGTGCAAATACATACAAAATATATGGTTTTGCACTGTACATATTTGCATTTGTACTCTTTCCAAACTGAGCCTAAAGGGACAGACAAAGAAGAAGGGTTGTGGTCTTCGATTTTGATTGGAAAGCTGGGGATGGAGCTAGGCAGGAGAAGAGTCGTAACCGACTTGGGACAAACTAATCTAGAGAACCAAAATGCAGAGAAATTGAGGAGAACAAGAGGTTCCAGTAATGGACAGTTTGTTCATGTTACCAAGGTTTTTCATCGTCTCAAGAAAGGATTGGTCGGGAATGGTCCATGCTGTAGATTTAAGAGAATTTACAAAAAGGACTGGACCTAAGGAAAACTCTAGTTCCCAGAAATGTCTGATCAAAAGAGATGCTGCAAATGGTTTAGAAGTTGATGCAGGCAGTAAAACTCAAGGCATACAGTAGAGGCAAGGAGGAAAACAAGGAGAAGGAGAAGCTTCAAAGACTGGGGACAAGAATAGAGAGAGAGAGAGAGAGAGAGAGAGAGAGAGAGAGAGAGAAAGAGCAGAACAGATACAAAAGGATCAAGAAGGCAAGGAAATAATTCAAAATGGGAAGGTGAATATTAATAAATTGGTGGAGAGGGAGGTTGAGATAGGAAAGTCTCTTGGTTTAGTCTTTTGGGGAGGGGAAGGATTCGCGAAAATAGCATTTGAGAAGTATGAAAAAAGGAAAAGAGAAGAGAAAAAGAAAAGGGAATGAGAGAAGGAAGGAGGGAGGAGAATGGGTGGAGCATTGAATTTTTGATTGCAGGAATGGGAATTTTGATGGAAGTTTGAGCTCTCTGTCTTCCTAAGTTTGTTCAAGTGAATGAGTCTGATCTGTTTGAGAATCTGGAGTTCTTTGGAGTTGAATCCTTGTCATTTGATTCTTTTTCAGTGTCATTTCTGTTTTGTAGTTGGTTTGTCAACTAGACAACCATTTTCTTGAGATGTTCGGCCTTTTTTTTTTTCAGTTTAATGAATTTTCCTTTGATCTTTCAAAAAAAAAGATCAATTTTGCTTTGATCTTTATAAGTTTAGCCTATTGGATTTACAGGAAGTTGTTCATAGGTATTACAATTTCCCACCATTTGGATTTCGAGGTGCCTTTGGTGATCTTAAGGGCAATACCTCTGGTTTTTTCAGGGCCCATTGGCCATAGAGAGTAGAGACTCAAATCTTAACAAGTGATTTCTTTATTCTGTAGGCCTTGAGAGGGTGGAAATAGAGGGTGACTTGATCTTTGATGGCTCTAAGGGCCCCTGATTGTTCTGATCTCTGGGTACAATAGTGAACCTTAGATGGGGTGGGAGGGGAGAGTTGCGCTATGCCATGAGTTACCAGGAAAGGTTAATTTACGTTTTAAGGTGGGGAGGGACATATTAATGGAATGGTATCTTGAGTACCAAAGAAATTATGAGTGCTAGTCCTTGTTATATTATTTATGCATTGATGTATAGTATGTTATCCGCATATAGTTGGGATAAGGCATAGATGATGATGATGATGATGATAATCTATAGAATGCTATATATGATTACATTAACTTCATATAGTCAGATATTAATAGCAGCATTAGTTTTTTTTTTTGTATTATTATGATTTTTGGTTAGTTATGGTGGCCATTCTTATTCTGGAATTCAAAATCTAGAATCTGCAGACTTCAAGACTTCCATTACTTTTATTTTGGTATTTGGAGCAACCTCTTGCTCCCACCTTTGATCAGATTTCTTTCATCTGTTGTTGCATTGATCATGTCTTTAAATCTTTGTGCTTTGAAACAAATAATGTGGCTGTGGACATGTGTTTAGCATCTGTATTTACTTAGTAGTCATTTGTTCATAATAGACGAAATGATACTTAGCCTTTTTGGTATGATGTATGACAGTGATGTGTTACAAAGTGAGTTCCTCAATGAACCAAGATTTAACTTTGAAGATCATGAAGCAGCAATAAATCTAAGGGAGGAAATAGAGGAGCAGGAGTTGCTGCTGGAATTTCTTTTGCAGCTACAACAAAGGAAACAAGAAGCTGCTGATAAGTTGCATGATACCATTTGTTATCTGTCTTCTGACATTGAAGAGGTTCTGAAGCAACAGAAGATGCTTAAGAAAAAAGGAGGTTTATACCTAGATCTGAATAAGGATGACCATTCTGTATTACAGAAGGTGGATGACACAGCAATTAATCTTATAAAAAATGAGGATTCTGCTAGTTTGGCATCCAGAAAGCGCTTTAGACCAGGATTAAAGGTCACTAGTGAAGAGGAATTTAATGAGCCTCTAGATGGGGTTCAGAAGTCAGAGAATCATGAAATTCTTTTGTCCAAAAATTCTCGATTAATGAAGAACTTTAAGAAACTGGAGTCAGCTTATTTTTCAACAAGATGCAGACTTGTGAAGCTAACAGGGAAACCAGTAGCTAGATGGTCACCAATCAGTAGTGGTGGTAGAGGATCTATTGTGGTAACAGAAGGAAGTTCTGTAGATAATTTGGCATTTAAGGAAGGGCATAGTGGAAGTAGAAAGAGTGGATGGATAAATCCATTTCTTGAGGGCCTGTGCAAATATCTATCCTTCAGCAAGTTAAAAGTAAAAGCAGACTTGAAGCAAGGTGATCTGTTAAATTCTTCCAACCTAGTATGCTCCTTGGGTTTTGATCGTGATAGAGAATTTTTTGCTACAGCTGGTGTAAATAGGAAAATTAAAGTTTTTGAATGTGACATGATCCTAAATGAAGATCGTGACATTCACTATCCTGTCATTGAGATGGCTAGTAGATCAAAACTAAGCAGTATATGTTGGAATAGCTATATCAAGAATCAGATTGCTTCAAGTGACTTTGAAGGTGTTGTACAGGTAGGCAAAGCCTTATGCATATCTATATCCATATTTCTATTGGTTGCCTATGAATCTACCGTTGTGTTTGGTTATGAGGTTGGCATTTCAAATGTATTTTTGTTTCTGATATTTATTATAATTCAGTTGCTCCTAACATTTTCAGGTGTGGGATGTCACAAGAAGCCAAGTACTCGTGGAAATGAAGGAGCATGAGAGGCGTGTATGGTCTATTGACTTCTCATCAGCAGATCCGACAAGGTTGGCTAGCGGAAGTGATGATGGTGCCATTAAACTTTGGAATATCAATCAGGCAATTCTATTTCTGCACTTGGTGGATGTCAGCTTTGAAACTAAACGTACTGCAGTCATCTAATTATGATCACTATATCTATTTTATACCTGGATGTATAATAAGTTGCTTTTCTTACATGGGGTGATACTGCAGGGAGGAAGTATTGGTACAATCAGAACAAAAGCCAATGTCTGCTGTGTTCAATTTCCTCCAGATTCTGCACGTTCACTTGCAATTGGTTCAGCAGATCATAGGATCTATTGCTATGATCTTCGTAATGCAAAAGTACCATTGTTTACATTAATAGGTCACAGCAAGACTGTGAGCTCTGTGAAGTTTATAGATTCAATGACTCTTGTTTCTGCATCCACGGATAACACACTGAAGCTATGGGATTTATCAACATGCACATCTCATGTACTTGATAGTCCACTTCAAACCTTTACAGGGCATACAAATGTAAAGGTGCACCTTCTCATTTAATTAAAAGACTCTTCCTCTTGCTCCTAGAGATTTCTGCAAATTTATTCTATGTTCATTTAGATATCAGTCACAAGGTCAATGCGTCACAACCTCCCTCCCCAGTCCCTTCCCCCCCATGTCTTTGAATTCCTTTCTTGAAGCATCTGGTTTTGCTTGGGCACATCCTCAGTGAAATGGCAAAATAAATTTGCATTGGAACATGATACTTGCATTGGAATGTAATAAATTTGCCACAAACTAAAATTAGAATGTTAAGTAATAACTAATAAGGGAATAATATAAACTTATATTGCTTAGATGACTTTGGAATTGTCTTTATGTAGATGCTATTGTCACCCTTGATAGTTTTTCAATTCTTTATGTCTTTGCTGATACATTTTCTGCTTGTTCCAGAATTTTGTAGGTCTATCTATATATGATGGGTACATTGCTACAGGCTCAGAAACAAATGAGGTATGCAAGTTAGCTTAGTTGTTAACTACATAATAGCTTTCTCACCTACAATATCATTAGCTTCTTCCTGTCACGCATAATATGTTGGGAAGCTGGTTTTTCCTTTTTTTTTTGTAATACTGTCTCCTTTTTGCCTGAAAGTTGCTGTTGATAAAAAGCATATCCTGAGTTATGATCTGCACGAATGGACATGGGTGTTATGATTCAATGTGGACAGGGTTTTGGGATTTCAAACCCTCAAATATGGCAATGTGGATCTGCCTACATGTGTATTATTAGGCATTTATATCTTTTTGAATGCCCTAATGTTAATTCCATTCAACAGAAGTTTAGATTGGCATCTCTTCAATCAATGTTCCTAAAACAAGACTGTCAGACCAAGTCATAGTTTTTTTTTTTTTGTTAATTTTTTTTTTGAGTGGCAGGAAAATTAGCTGATGAGTAAACTTAAGGCCATTGCCCAATGTTGGTCCCAGCTTTTTGGGGTATTGGGAGGAGTAGACTGGATACAGTCCTAACTTTTGGCATCTTTTTACACAAAGTAGCCACCCTCAGATTTTAATCCGTGGTTCACTCTTGCCAGCCTGAGATTTTACCATTAAAATGCTACTAATATGGCTTTAGTTTCATTCATCCAACACATCTTTAAATGGATGTCATGTCAATAAATGACTGACGTACCGTATTATTAAGGTGTTTCACATTCTGCTGCTTCTTATATCATTAGTGTCTCACATGATAAGGTGCCCAATTGACTCAATATTCCATTTAATTTATATTAAGATAAGTTTGTAGCTGGGATGTCATTGTTTCACATTCTGCTACTTCTTAGATCTTCAGAAATGCATTGATGTATTATATTGCACATGAAAGTAGTTAACATTCCTACTAGAATGGGTATATTAGTGAGCCTTCCAGGAAAAAAACAAAATATTAATTTTTGTTCTTTCTTAAGGAAAAAATATTAGTTAAGAACCGTACCAAAATAAAGATATTTTCATCTGTAAAAGAAAAGGTTCTTAGCATTTGACAGAAGGATGTACTGTAGTATAAAATGGTAGTTGCAGGCTTATGGCTGGATTGGCATTTCATGTACAAATAGTGTACCTAGCACCTCTTGGAGAAGTTTACGCCAACTCGTGTGCCTAACCCATTGTTCTCATTCTTTACATTCAATAATTAGGTTCTGATGGGAACACATTCCTCCACTATGATCAATCCCTTTGTACTCCTTATTTTACTAACACATCAATGAAACTGTTAGCTGGTCTTTGGACCCATATAGTTCTTTTCAATTGCATAGCCAATTACCTTCCACTATAATGTTCCTGTAATTGAGAGAAATCCCCAAAATCATTCCTTGCAGCCAAGCTAATAGTTCCTCCTTTGTCAAGTTGTCAAATTGAATTGGTCCAAAAAAGATAGCTAGGATTTTTTTTCCTTGTATCACTTTTAGTGAAGAGGAAAATGAGTTGATGAAAATTCTACACAACTCTGGAGGCTTCCAACTGCAACCAAAAAAGAAAAAAAAACAGTCTAAAATACTAGAGACAAGATGATAGGAGATCTTTTATTTTTGGTGAAAATAATAGGAGATTAGAAAATGGAAAGTAGTCACACCACTTTGCAAACAAAACAGATATATGGTGACAGAGCCAGTTCAGTCTGCAAGCTCTAAACTTATTTAGAGCTTCTGCATATTGGTTCATGAGTCTTCTTGCCCAAGTCACAATTGTTTTGCTTGTTGAATGGGTTAATTTCTTAAATTCTATATTAGTTTATGAAACATTCTAAAACATTAGGATGTTTTCTGGGAAATATTGTTATTTTATTAATCTAAGTTGCAGTGGAGAATGGAGATTCAACAGGTATGGTGTCTGCCTGTTACTTCTGGTGTCAGAAGCAAGACTGGAGATACGTCTCAGGAAAGAGTTAAGGAGCCCAGATCTTCTACCAACGCAGCTTCCAACATCTCAAACATGTTTTGTACTTGTATGTTAGTCATCAATGGGATTGTACTTTTAAGACAGCAATCATGTTTGAGATATGCAGCTACATGTCATGTTGGAAGCTGTGTTGGTAAGCAGATCAGGACTCAGAATTAGGGGCAAACTCACTCTTGGAACCATGAAAACAACAGGTAAGAGTATGATTGTTGATAAGTGGACACGAAAAGGGGAAGCTGCATGAATGCACTGTATCCAGAATATTATTTTACATCTATTGCGTAGGCTTCAATGATCTTATCTTTTTTATGCAACAGGTATTCATCTACCACAAAGCTTTCCCTATGCCAATGCTTTCTTTCAAATTTGGCAGTACAGACCCATTGTCCGGACGTGAAGTTGACGATGCCTCACAATTCATTTCGTCTGTGTGTTGGCGTGCCCAGTCGTCCACCTTACTTGCAGCCAATTCAACAGGGAATATTAAACTTCTGGAGATGGTTTAGATTTTAGAATGGTAAAGGAGTTTTGAGAGGAAAAACAAATTAAAGGAAAAGAATGAGAAAGGAGGAAACCTTAAACCAGAACCAGCTGTAAGATTGAAATTGAGATTTGATATTTGGCAGCCAACAAGGGGAATGCAAACTATGGGATGCAAATTTTGGCGTTGGAACCGAGAGAGTTGAAACTTGGGTCAGGCGAATGTGGTGATGTGAACTGTAGAAAAAAAAGAGAATAAATCACAAAAAGGGGTAGATAGAGAGAGTGAGCGAGTTATGTATATTTAATGTAATGCTTAAAAATTGAAATGTATAATCATATATAAAATTTATGTTGGGTAATTTTGTTTGGTTTATTGGTGAAGAGTGTGTCTTGTCAGTGCCCAAGGCAAAGTTGGGTAGGGGTGAGCATTCGGTTTATTCAGTTAAAAACCGAATTGAATAAACTGAAAATTTGAAAATTAAACTAAAAAAATAAAAATTGAAACTGAAACCGAAATTTAGAAAAACCAAAATAACCGAAACTGAAATTTTTGGTTTGGTTTTTGGTTATTTCAGTTAAAACCGAATTTTAATAATATGTACTCTATTATATATATTATATAATATATTATATATTATAAAATATATATTATGAAATCAAATTTCAGTATATTGTATATTAATATATAAATATATTATATATTATATATTATATATAATAATAAAAAGTTTGGTTAATTTGGTTAATCGAAATTTTAATTCCAAAAACCGAAACCAAAAGTTGAAATAGCCAAAAAACCGAACTGATTTAATCAAAAACCAAAAAAACCGAAATCGAAATTTTTGGTTTGGTTATTCGGTTTTAACCGAATAATGTTCATCCCTAAACTCGGGTGAGTTGGGTCGGGATGATTATCGTGCCCAAGGCGAAGCCCAACTCTCGATCACCAAACTGTATAGTAACGGATCTAGTTTTGGTTGGTCAGGCAAATTGCAAGGCTTAAAGCTAGGGATGACAATTTTTCCTATTTTCCTAATTTTATGTTAAATACACGCAGAATGTAGGTGTGTCCATTATAAGTGGATCAAGTAATCAAGTCTAATCCAATCTAATGAGTGTTTTGGACCATCCAATCTGTTCCAATTTGTTTTAATTTAGATTAGTTCTAACTCAAACCTGGTCCATTGACACTTATATTCTTATCTTTTATAAATGGACCAGAGATTGGCTCAATCCAATCCAATATAAATTCATTATGGGGTGGACCAGGTCTAATCCCATCCAATAAATACTTTGGATCATTAAGTCCGGATTGGTCCAATTCAGTATTTCTTGTTAGTCTATCCAATTCGTTCAAATTGATCTTGGATTGGATGGGGTCTAATCCAAAGCCCATCCATTGACACCCCTACCTAAATGGGGTGGGGATAGGGATGATTTTTCCCTACTTGAATGGGGATGATATATATAATATAAATAATATTTTATATGTATATATTTAAGTATAATATATATTTAATATATGTAGTCAAGGTTGGAATAGGGCAATGAATTCATTTCCCATCCTGATCCCGGCAAGGCAATCTCCATCCCTGACTCTATCAGGTTGGGAAAATTGCCATCCCTACCCATATTTCATTGGTGCTGGAGTCGAGTTTCTGGGCAATCCCCAGATTAGCTGAACGTAATGGCTTTTGTGAAACCAATAATAACCCCATGTCAGTCGTGCACCTGAAGTGAGATATTGAAGTTGTGATTGGAAGTTGGAACCAATGCTATTTCCATTTGAAACGTTGTGGGTTTTTATCGATGCAAATAGACATAATTGAGGTTGTTTGTGGTTGAAACAGACACTGCTTAAAAATGCATGTGTAGGAGGCTGTTTGTATAATCATCAAATTGACATTTCAGGTGCAAAAATGTAGTGGCATTAATCCTTATTAATGGTTACAAATCCGGACTCAGCTTATAGCTGAAGCGGGGCATTATTAATGCCAATGGTTACACAGCAGTTATCAGTTTCAGCTAATATGGACTCACATGACACATTAGTTCAAATGGTTTTCATGCAACATTAGAAGTGCTGTATCAATGGTTGTATGAGCTAACGTGTCAAGTGAAGAGAGCATGTGGTGAGAACCTATCAAACGTGGACAACCAATATTCTCTCAAGTTTGGTTGGTTCTTGGTTGAGCTCAATTTGAGTTGTGGCCAACCGGTTCGTTATCTCCTTTTAAGCCATGGCTGTATGAGCTAGCATGATGGCCGCCTCAATAGTATTTTCAGTCTCAAGTTTTTCTCTAGAAAAGAGTTGGGTATTTGTGAGGGATCTCATAGGGAAGAACTAAAACTAAACCCAACAATAAATGTAAGAGAAAAACCAAAAACCTAAGACCCTACCAGAAATTAAGGGAGAAAAAGGTTACCTTCTTTTCAAGTATGGAATTACCTAAGGGTGAATTACTTATTTCTTCCCAACCAGGGAGTTCACTTGTCAAGGTATTTGAGTGAATATGAGAGAGCGAGTTTTACAAATTTCTGTTGTTTTCAGAGTATTAGTATTTCCCCCTCTTTTCATATTAATATGACAAAATGGGGGTGTTTGTCAATTTAAGGGGGTGTGTTTGACAACATAGTTTACAAAACAAAACCAACCATATTTCAGAGGATTCTGATTTACCTGCAAATGCACATGATTAGAGGTGTAAAGTGGGTCGTGTCACCTTTCTTGTGAAAAATTTGGGGGTCGGCCCAGCACAGCCCATGGCCCAGGCCCGTGCGGGCCTGTGCCGTGCCGTACCGTGCCATGCCGCAGGCCGGGCTAGTCTGCAGTCCGAGCTTTAGGCCAGGTCGGGCCGTGAACCGGGCCAAAGCTATTTATTTAAAAAATAACAAAATTTAAAATTTTAATTTTATATAAATTTTATGTACACAATTACTTATATATATAATAATTAAATAAATTATTTATTTTATTAATATTATATATATATACCGTGCCAGACTGATCTAAGTTTGTGCCGAACCACGGGCGGCACAGCCCGATTTACACCTCTACACATGATTTGTGAAATAGTGCCCCTATTAATTAATGACTATAAAGAGTAAATATGTAAGTGCTTTTTATCTTTTCTTAAATGATTTTGGGCCATCAGCCCATCAATCACTACTCAATAGGCCCACCCACCATCTTTTCAAAATGAGATGTTTCCCATTAATTGGGTACCTAAAAAAGAAAAGAGTTTCTCTTAGAATGGTCATTTCATTATCATGTGAAAAAAAAAAAAAGAAAGAAAAAAGAAAAAAAATCCAATCACCAAACCTGGGAAAGAGGTTTAAAATCTGATAAATCAACTCCTCCAAGATTTTAAATAGACTAAAGGGCCTTTTGATAACAAGGAAGTGGCAGGACTGAATGATTTATTGCTTGTCTTTTAACGAAGAAAATTTTAAGGAGGTTGTGAATCATTGATTCTTCTGTCCTCAAATTATTATGGCTGAAGTTGTATTTTGGTAGTGAGACAACTGAAGTTGAGTCAATCATTATATATATTCTCCGGCTAAACAGCCCTTTGGGGGTGAGCTAAACTCTTCAAATGATCAACTGATAGCCGATTTGGGCTCTTACAATTATTCAATTTTCACCAAACATAGTTTATAGGCTGTCCATGTAGAGCCTACCTCAAAAATCCGATTTTAAATCAGCCCTCCACAATGTCCCACAGCACATTCCCGCTGTGTATTGGGAATATCTTCTAATGATGACCATTATTTCTGGGATTATCATCGAGAGATGTTCTCAATACATGGCAGAGATGTATTATGGGATGTTGTGGGGAGCAATCTTGTGGGAGGCTGATTTGATCTCCAAAAAAACCATAACCCACTTTGCTTCAACCCTCCCAAATAGACACTAAGTCAGCTACCTCAGCTGTTATAAACAGCCACTACCGCTAATTAAGTTAGGTTGGACCAAGCACTTGAGCTCAGCCCACCATTGGCAAATTTAGGTTGGCTTTCCATCCCTTTACACGTAGGGTGTTTTTGGTTGGTGTGTCTCACCGACTCACCATCACACACCAATATAAATTCAGCTTCAATCATGATTTTTCTATTCTAATAATTCTACGATCAGAAAGTAGATAGTGAAATTAGATGTACATTTGTGCCACAGAATCAATACTCACATGTCATACTTAAGAAAAATAATAATATAATTGATACATTTTTCTCTAAATTAATTCTAAACCATACCAACTTTTTTAGAACCATCAATGAAACACCACCTGTTCCACCCTAATTATATTGTATGGTTGTAACCAGTGGACCTCCAGCAGAGCTGGCAGAAGTAATACCAAATAATAGAAAGAAAGAGAAGAAAGTTTGGATTTTTTTTTTTGTTATTTATTTTTTTCATTTTTTATGGTGAGACGCGAGGGAAAGATCAGTAAGGAATCTTAACAAATATATTTAGAAAAAAGAAAAAAATGTCAGGTCCTTGGAAAAGGATAAGATGTAGATGGATTTTCTTTTCCACTTACTACATTATATATTTAATGAAACTTGGCACATCCTGTCTTTGATAGATGGGACACTTACAGACTCCATTGAAAGGACACAATCTCGTCTTAATTTCTTATATTCTTCAGATAACTGGCTTCTGCTTGAATACTTCTTCTCTATTAGGTGTTTTAATTATAAAATCTCAAGTTGGAATATTTTTCGTGATGAAAATTTCGATTTATATATATATATATATATATATATATATTTTCTTTTGAAGACAAAAGTTTTATTTTCATTGTCATATTGATGAAAGCTTAACTATCTCTTTAGAGATATCCTATATAAATTTAGAATGACACGGAGAATATTAACATGGCCCTGTGCAAGGATGACTCGCACAAATCAAGAAAATTATCAAAGCTTAACTGGTCTCTCAAGAAAAAAAAAAAAAAAAAAAGATTTTCATGCTGAAAATTTTTATTAATATATTTTATTTTCTTTTAAAAATAAAAATTTTGTGTTGATAAAAACTTAATTATCTCTTAAGAAACGATACAAACAAGATTAGCTTGGCCTACGACACGCAACGCACAAGTTGAATAATGATCATCTCGATCCCAAGGGAAAAAACAGTAAGGAATCTTCAAGAAAATATAAAATTATGTCAACAGTACTCTGGAAGAAACTAGAAAGTATAAGATTACTTTTCCCCTCCAACTTATCCATAATTCAACTTGGCACAACACAAGGACAAGCGTAGACCCCATGCCAGTTTTGTTCTCTCTTCTTTATGCATTGATATCTATCTTATGGAAATTATTAGATTATATTTTTTTTTTCAATTTATAAA